TACTTCCATAGTAAACTGTCTCGGAAACCCAAGGAAGGATCGTTATGAGTCAGATCCGATTCAAAAGCAGTTTTTTTTGTTTTTTTTTTCCTGCAGTCTGAAATTGACCAAACATGCAATCAAGATGTGTTGATGATTACTGGTGATTGGAAGGGAAAAATTGGAAACAAAGAAGAATCACCGGTAGTTGGAAAATATGGCCTTGGTGATAAATATGACACTGGAGATCTCATGGTAGAATTTTGCAAGACCAATGACTTATTCATTGCAAATAGCTTTTTTCAACAATATAAATGGTGGCTATACATGTGGACTTTGCCACTTGAAGTACACAGAAAGAAAATCAACTGCATCCGTGTAAAGAGACAATATCTTCAGCCAAAACAAGGCCAGGAGCTGATTGTTGAACAGAACATCAACTGCTCATATGCAAGTTCAAATTGAAGCTGAAAACAATTAAAACAAGTCCACAAGAGCTGAAATATGACCTTGATTATATCTCTCCTGAATATAGAGGCCATCTAAAAAATAGATTTGATGCATTGAACACCAGTGACTGAAAACCAGAAGATTTGTGGGATGACATCAAGAACATCATCTATGAAGAAAGCAAAAGGTGATTAAAAACACAGGAAAGGAAGAAAGGACCAAATGGATGCCAGAAAAGACTCTGAAACTTGCCCTTTAATGGAGAGTAGCTAAAGCAAATGGAAGAAATGACAAGATAAAAGAACTGAATAGAAGATTTCAAAGAGCAGCTCAAGAAGACAGTCAATTATTATAATGAAATTTGCAAAGATATGGAGTTAGACAACCAAAAGGAAAGAACACACTCAGCATTTCTCAAGCTGAGAAAAACCAAAGAAAAAATTTAAGCCTCCAGTTGCAATATTGAAAGATTCTATGTGAAAAATATTGAATGATGCAGGAAACATAAAAAAAAATAAATAAATAAGGAAGGAAAACCTAGAGTCACTGTACCAAAAAGAAGTGGTCAACGTTCACACATTTCAGGAGGTGGCATATGGTATTGAAGGAAGAAGTCAAAGCTTCACTGAAGGAATTGGCAAAGAATAAGGCTCCAGAAATTGACAGAATACCCATGAGTTATTTCAATAAACCAGTGCTGTGCTGGAGGTGTCTATTCATTTTGGAAGATAGCTACCTGGCCAGCTGACTGGAAGAGACCCATATATGTACCCATTCCAAAGAAAGATGATCCCACAGAATGTGGAAATTATCTAACAATATCATTAATATCACATGTAAGTAAAATCTTGCTGAAGATAGTTCAAAAATGGTTGCAGCAGTATATTGATAGAGAACTTCCAGAAATGCAAGGTGGATTTAGAAGATGAAGGATATCATTGCTGATGTCAGATAGATATTGGCTGAAAGCAAAGAATACCAGAAAGATGTTTACTTGTGTTTTATGGTTGTGTGAAACCATTCAACTGTGTGGATCATAACAACTTGTGAATAACATCGAGAAGAATGGGAATTCCAAAACACTTAATTGTGCTCATGAGAAACCTGTACATAGACCAGGAGGCTTTAGTTAGAATGGAACAAGGGTATACAGCATGGTTTAAAAATCAAGGAAGGAGTGTGTCAGGGTTGTAGAGTTGTATTCTTTCACCACCCTTATTCAATCTGTATGCTGACCAAATAATTGGTGAAGCTGGACTATATGAAGAAAAGCATGATATCAGGATTGGAGGAAGACTTATTAACAACCTGTGATATGCAGATGACACAACTTTGCTTGATGAAAGTGAAGATGACTTGAAGCATTTATCGATGAAGATCAAAGACACCACTCTGCAGTATGGATTACATCTCAACTTGAGGAAAAGGAAAATCTTCACAACTGGACCATCGTGACCAATTCAGCGTCATGATGAATGGAAAAGAGATTGAAGTTATCAAAGACTTCATATTACTTGGTTCCACAATCAACACCAATGGAAGCAGCAGTCAAGAAATCAGATGACATATTGCACTGGGCAAATCTGCTGAAAAAGAGCTCTTTAAATTGTTGAAGAGCAAAGATGTCTCTTTGAAGACTAAAGTATGCTTAACCCAAGCCATGGTATTTTCAATCACCTTATATGCCTGTGAAGACTGGCCAATGAATAAGTAAGACTGATGAAGAGCTGATGCTTTTGAGTTGTGGCATCAGCAAAGAATACTGAAAGTACCATGGACTGTCAGAAGAACTAACAAATCTGTCCTGGATGAAGTGCAGCTGAAATGCCCCTTGGAAGTGAGAATGGCCAGACTTCGTCTCACCTGCTTTCATCATGTTAGAAGGACCATTCTCTGGAGAAGGATGTCATGCTTGGTAAAGTGGAGGGTCAACAAAAAAAGGGTAAGGCCCTCAATGAGATGGATTGACACAGTAGCTGCAACGATGGGCTCAGGTATGGCAAGGATTGTAAGGCTGGCACAGGACCGGACAGTGTTTTGTTCCATTGTACATAGGGTCGCTATGAGTTGGAGCTAACATGATAGCACCTAACAACAACAACAGCCTGCATCATTGATATAAATGACAGAAAATGATTTAAGACTTTTGATAAAATTCTACATAAGTGAAAGTTTAGATTAAAATAACCACACAGTCTAGAAAATCTGTCATATTTTCACACCAATATTACTGTTTCTGATGCATTTTACTTATTAGTTATCTGTCTTAGTTCTCTAGTGTTGCTATCACAGATATACCACAAGTGCATGGCTTTAACAAACAGGAATTTATTCTCTTACAGTTTAGGAGGCAGAAGTCCAAATTCAGAGCTCTGGCTCTAAGGGGCTCTTTCAGTCAGGTCTGAAGGAAGTTCCTCATATCCTTTCAACATCTATGGACTTGGTGTTCCATGGAGATCTCCATGTGCCTTGGCATCAATCTTCCTCTGGGTCCAGGAGGTTCTTAGCACAGGATGCTGCCTCCAAAGGATACCCTCTGCTCCTGGCTCTTCTTTCATGGTAGTAGTGAGGTCCCTCTCTTCTCTGCTCTCTCCTCTCTCCTTTTATCTCTTGATGCAGGCTATACCCCTTAGATCAGATCAGGGCTGTGAGCTGAGTAATGGTGTTTCATCCTACCCTAAAAGCTTTACAATTGATTGGCTGATCCCAACATTACTGCCAAACCACTGAGAACTGTGGCCCAGCCAAAATGACACATATATTGGGGAGACACGATTCATTTCATTTCATTCCACTCTCTTGCCCTCTAAAATTCTTATTCTTATCACATGCAAAAACACTATCCCCCCATTACATCATCCTAAAAATCGTAAATCAATCCCAAGACCAAATTGTATTCTGGAGCAAAATTTCTCTTCATCTGTGAATCTAGAATACAACTTATCTCTTTCCAAAGTAAAGTAATGGAACAGCACAAGGTAGACATTTCCATTATAAATGGGAGAAATTGGAGTGAAAGTATAATGGGCACCAAATATATCCAAAACCCCACAGAAAAAAAATAACATTAGTTCTCAAGACTTGAAAATAATTGTTCTCTGAGGCCATCTATGCAGTCGAGCTGCCCTCCATACATAACTTCTTTCCTTAGCCCTCTTTCTGCTTTTTTTACTTCATGTGGTTTTCTCTCCAGAGAACCTCAGCACTTGCTTATCAGTGTCACAACACATATCCATCTGTGTATGTATAGATTAACATTTGAAATGCACACAATTGATGTCCCCATAACATGTGAGTAACTGGTAGCAAGGCATTTATCAAAGCTCCATTGAACCAGATGGAAAATTAATCACTTAGAGCACCTGATTTCTGTCCATGCCAAACCCACAAGCCTCTTGTCCTTATGTCTGTGAGCATATCCTTGTCACCAGCCAAGTTTCAATTTTTCATTTCATTCTTAAAGTTCTCATTCCTTTTCCCAGCTCTTTCTCTTCATCTTTGTCTTTTAAAAATATTTCACTTCATTGAATTTCCATTTAAAATCTCTACATTTGACTCAGGAGAAATACATAAGTATTACCATTAGGAAAACTCAGGAAGGAAAAGTGATCTTCCACAGTTATCCACTCTGAGCAAAGGCCCTTCAACTAATCTGATGGTCAAACCCATATAAACTTGAGATCCTTCCCCTATCCAAAGGGATGATGATTTTTTCTTTTTAATACAGTTGGAACTTTTAGGTTCCAAGGATGACTCTTCTTAAAAAGAATTACTTTATCTGCTAAAGTACCAAATAAAGTGAGTATATTAATTTCCTATGCTAAAACAGAAGAAAATAATGTGGAATTTAGGTAGATGCAACATAGTGAATATAGACAGAGACATCGATTGCACTATTTACTTATTCATCTGGACCTAGATTTATGCTGCTATAACACATGGAGTCACCATGAGTGAAATCAATTCAGTAGAAGCAGGTTTTTTTTTTTTTTCTTTAATGGTGAGAAATGTATTAGTTTGTATGCTAAATTTTTTAAAAGTTGAATGGCAATAAATAGATGCAGATTCTCATAACTTTTAAAAGAACTGAAAATAACTTATACTACTTAAATATTTCTTTACTTACACACCCTCAATATTTAATACTTGCCATTCTCTGTGCTGTGAATAGCTTGGAAAGGTGAAAGAGTCACTTGGGGTAAAAGAGAGGAGAGAACTAATGTTTTGAGCACTTACTTTGCACTAGATACTTTGCTAAACTTTTTAATGCACTGTCTCTCTTAAACTTAGCAATATCTCTGTCAGCCATACTATAAAGCATTTACCCTGTGGTTCTATAGATTTTCACCAATATTTTGAAATTGGCTATTTGCCTTAGTGTTTTATAAGAAATAACCCAATAAACTATTTCACAAGCTCCAGATTGCTCAATCTGATTTCAAATTAATTATATAGAAGATGTAAGACTGTGAAAGACTATGATGGCATGAATTTTAAATTGCCCTTGTTCTTTTGTAACGTGGTTAACACTGTCTAGACCCTGGTATCAAATGTACTGTTGATTATTCTAGATGAGTGAAGCCGAGATCAATGGGCAGTTTGAATCAGTATGTGAATCCGTCTTTAGTGAAGTTGAATCTCAGGCCATGGATGCCCTTGACCTCCCTGGATGTTTCCGAACAAGGAGTCACAGTTACCTTCGGGCCATTCAAGCTGGTTACTCCCAAGATGACGAATGTATCCCTACAATGACAACCTCCAACATCACTTCAACCATCAGGTCAACAGCAGGTAAAAGAATGTCCTTTTTTTTCCTTCACTGTGGAAACATACAAGTGCATTTGAGTCTTTATCCTAGAGGAAGCAGAGTACACCTGCACCACAGATGTAATTCACCACCCAAACATCTAATGATGTTTGCAAATTGCATTTGTTACATTGTCACATTTTCAATGGTGTTTGAAAACATTTGTTTCCTAGATAACCTTTTTGTGTCCTAGAATATAATGATTAAATTTCTTTAAAATAATCAACTATAACTTTTGTAAGATTTGTATAGGAAAACATTTTAAAAGTGCTGATATTTGAGAGGTAATCATATTTTAAACATTAAAGTTCAATAGATTGCAGTAAAATTCCAATTGACATGTAATGACTCCTAGGCTTCTCTTAGCAGTGTCCAACCTGAATCTCTGTTGCATAGTAAGCAGATCTATAAACGTGATTCATGGCTGCAAGCAAATCAATCGTTAATGTAAATTCACTAATAGTTGAATGGCTCTAAGGATTCAGTGTCACAGTTTTCTTATGGAAACCAAACCTACCCTTTGAAAATTTACCACCTAGCTAAATATCACTGCCTAATATTTTATTGCACTCTTATTATTTATATAATGCAATGAATATACATGGCCTCGAGAAACTCATAAAATACAGCAAACAATAATTTTTTTCCATGGTACATATAAAAGTTAAGAAGATAAGCGATGAAATAAGGTAGCGTTGAAGAGTGAGGTGATCTATCATAAGATCTGGAATGCTGTGGAAGTACCAGAGGAATACAAGGGGTAGTTTTGAGGAGAAAAAGAATGCATTTTCTTTATGATAACTAGCATTAAGAACCAGAAGACATGTAATTGGGAGTGGGTAAAAGCAACAAAGGAAAACTCAGGAAAGAATGTGTCATTATACCCATAAATAGATCTGGGTTTGTTCCAATGCTAATGTTAATAAGAGTTTTAAGAGATTGCACATTACAAATTATAGCCACTGTGTTAAAAATATGTTATCATTGTACTTGAAAGGAAACTGTTTGATGAAATGCTCTATATCTAGGAGAGAAAATATGGATTTAAACCTTATTCCACAATGTTGTGACTATAAGATCTTTGGCATGTTAACTTTTTAGACTCAGTTTTCTAAGGTATTCAAAAAGAAAAGTAATCACTATTAATAATTTATTCAAGTCATTTAAAGATTTTTGTTTTTTCAAAGGAAAGCTGTGAATGGGCTGTCTTTTTTATGTTGCTTTGTGGCACCTGAGCAGAGGTTATTATGATACTTTCTGACTACTAAACCTTGGGGCCTCCATGAAGATATGCATTGCAGCATGGCATGCTCTATTTTCAAAATATAGCTTTGTGGAAATGGCAACAGCAGATACCTACCTACCAAAGATGTGTTTTGTGTGAAATATCCAAGGCTGCAAATACTATCCAAGTGTAACCTGGGGGCAATGTGTGTGTGTGATTTGGTCTTAGTCTCTGATTCTCCTTTTAGATGACCCGTTTGATTTACTCCTTCCCCTCAGTGAAGTCATGGATCACCTCTCATGCACTGTCCTCCATGAAAAAGAAGTATGATAACAGAACGAATTAGAAATTTAGGGAAGAAATTTAGGGAGCTTTGCAATCATTGTGTTTTGATTTTTTTGGAAGAAAAAAAAAACACTTTAAGAGATCATTACTGACGTATTCAACCAATATTTGTTGATTGTCTACTGTGAGCAAGTGCCAATTCATTATTTTTATGGTCATCAGAAATGCATGAAACAATAATTACCTAGTAGAAAATGATTTTATTGTTTTTAGGGCTGTCATTACAGAGAGAATAAAAATAAAACAGATTTCATGGAGAAAATGGAAGAACTAATACTACATTCTGGAAGCATAGTGCCTAAGGCACTTGACTGCTAACCAGAAGGCTGGTGGTTCAAACCCACCAGCTACTCCTTGGAAGGAAGGTTGGGCAATCTACTTCTGTAGTGATACCGCCTCAGCAACCCAAGGAGGGATCGCTATGAGTCAGGTCCCACTCGATGGCACATAACAACAACAACAATACTACACTAAAACTAAAATTGTAATTTAAATATATATCATTTTTACCAAATACATTTTTTTATTCCCAAAGTATACACAACAAATTAATACCAAAACAAATGCTTATATCCCAAGTTTTTATTATATCTTGCTTTAGTTACTGAATTAAAGTGTTCTCTAGATTACGTATTGAATGCCAGAGTTAGAGAAAGTTCTGAGAATCAAATAAGAAAAGAAATTAAAACACCATGATAAAACTTAGTACTGTTGAATTTGAAATGACCATTTTGGAGAAATGGAAGTACAGAAGAATCATTAATCCCTCCTTCTTCCTGTTTTTCTGTAAATATCATTTATTTAAAAGTTACTACTTTCTTATCTAAGTAGAATTGAGATAAGGTACAACAAAATATATTTAATAAAATGATGAAAAATATTTAATTTTCTAAAAACCCCTATCTGCAATCACATACAAAAACAAAGTATTGAGTAGATCTATCAAAATATACAGGATGCAAATGCTCACATAATTCTTTTTTTTTTTTTTTTATTAGGATTTGGGTGAAGATTTACAGAGTAAATTCACTTTTCATACAGCAGTTCACATATACTTTGTCT